CATCTATTATTGCCTTGTTTATCTAAAAGTGCTCTTTCCCCTTAAACCTAGCCAAAAAAACATATGTGTTGACTGTGAAACACAGTAGACTTTAATAATATGCATTTATGGTGTAATTACTACATTTTCACGTCAATCCATGTTCATATTTACTGCAAACAATGCGCTGTTACTTTAATTCTTCGCTTGCAGCGCAGCAATAGACTCGGTGCAGAATCGATCTCTGCACTGCTGCAGACGCACCGCTTGTGGAACGCACTGCCGGACCGCAACCGTCTGCACTGTGATGCTTTAATCTGTTAACATGAGCGCGGAAAAAATACGCACCATATACGCACTGCAAATGGAGTAATGTGAACCTGACTTTATGTGTGTGCGCTGCGAGTGTGCATGAGTGCACGGTCTCCAGGAGAGTGCGCGAGCGCTGAATGGTTAAACACTGGTAAGAATTTAAAAGTAATGCAATTTATAAACTTTAGTGACGATGTGACACTGCCTCGATTGTGCAAGTGACAATTCCTGCCAACTGTGCAGCGTGCAGCTCGCTTATAGACAAGACGCGATGCGTGGTGATTTGAAGCCATTTGCGTATTGTGTATCACATTGAAAGAGAGAGAGAGAGCGCGTGGTGATTCACTCACGTTATTTGTGAAATTACGTCTCATACAAGGTTTTCAAATTACCTTAGAAGTTATTTAATGAAGAAATATGAAGGTGAGTACCTCACCTTCAGCATTATAATTATTTCACCCGTGCCGGACTGAGACGGTGACGCTGCATGTCATGCCAAACCTCTCACGGCAGCGTCATCAGCTTGAGATAGGTTTTTTGAGATTAGCCTTTTTAGAGACCGCTGATCAAACATCCCAACGTGATTATCGGCCGATAGCCGATCAATCGGAGCACCCCTATATATAACACCATTGAATTAATTTAGATGTAGATGATTTACCATTTGTTTAAAGCTAAATGATTTTGATGTTAAATGACAATTGAGTTAATGTACTTGCTTAGTTAATGGATGATGTTAACAAACATTTCCACTTGTATTCTGTTAAACTGTTGCCTCTTCTTAATGAAAGAGAAAAAATAATATCTGATTGTATCTAATACATTGTCTTTTATTGACAGGCTGATTTGACTTTGCTCCCATGGATAGCAAGAATATGAGCATCTAATCAACACTTGGTATCATGGTAAGCAAGTGTCATACTATATTAACAGGGATCCTTAAAAATCATGTAAATGTCTTAAATATCACCTTGTGAAGTCATAAGAAATCTTAAATATCCTTCATTGCATAAAAAGTAGTTTGAAAAGGTCTTAGATTTGATGACAGAATTACATTTTGTATTTGTGTGGGACTTGTGCCAGCTGAGTAACTGCTGTTGAGACGAATAGGTATTTAAAAAACACTAAAAAAAGACAGTTTTGCTGTCTGAATAATCAGTGCTTTTTTTCTTCAGAAAACAAGTGTCCTGGGGTCTCATTTATAAAACTCTCCGTAGATTTAATCCTGAATGTGTGCTAGATTTTGCGTACGCACAAAAGTTTTCAGATTTATAATACCATGCGTACGCCAGAACCGGTCAGGGGAAGATTGTGCGTACGTGCATCTCCACCCCATCTCCCCGAAATCACCATATATGGAGCTTACAATGCCTAGTTTTACTATGCATAACCTCATCTGCATATCATTTCCATGCATATTCCCATCCACGTGACACCATGTTTAACACTGTCAAAGGTACGGACTATAAATGCCATTTGTGCCATACATTAATTTTTATTGCTAAAAATCATCCAATATCCTTGTTTTAGAATAAATACATACAAACAAAACTGTTTAAAATAGTTATCAGATAAATATTTTAGAATAGAGTTGATCTCATTCTTTTACACAGGCCAAATGTTATTTCAATTGTTTAAACAATTCAAATCAAATTAAATTTATGCAGTTTTGCTGATGAGGTGAACATCTTTTAGCTCTTTATAGTGGAAACAGATAAGCCTATATGTATTGCAGTATAAATGCAATTGTCTGACTTGGCGCGTCACTGACAAAGTATTTTAAAAAGGAAACGTGTAAATCTTACCGTTTTCTTCAAGTTGTATCCTTAAAATACAGTGGTAGGCTATTTTTCATAATGTTGTGGAGATGTCTTCACACGACAACACCTCCGTGCAGCTGCAGTTGTACAGTAAGGCTATGTTCACACTTGGCGTCTTTTTTGAAGCTGCCAGCGTCTGTTTTACATTATAATCCTATGGAGTAAACTGTGTTTTCAAAAAAGTCCTGAGCGCTTTTTAAAACGCCACCGCCGGCGTCTTTTTCTGCAGCTCAGAGCGCCTTTGCAAGTTGAAAAAAGTTCAACTTTTCTGAAAAAAACGCCCTATGTCAAGCGCCTTTTTGACAGCTGACCAATGACGAGCGAGTGGCGAGTCGTTTCCATAACAACAAAAACAACAAGAAAAATGGAAAAGATAGCCGGTAGATTAGTTCGTACTAGTTTCGGAGCACAAGGAGTTGTATGATATGAGCACAAAACTGTATCTAACTTAGTCTAAAATATGCCACAAACCGTGCATCATTCAACCGGAGCTCCTGGACTAAATTGTTGTAAGCACCATACTGTTTCCTTCCCCGTATAATGTCGCGCACCCACAAACATCGTTGTGAACTGACATTCTCCTCCCCGTTAACTTCAAAAGGCAAAAAAAGAGCCAACATTTTACTCTTTCTCGACATTTCTGCAGCATATAGCGCTAGGCTACTGTTGCAGCTGTTGTTATAGCAACAAAAGACGCCCTCGGCTGCTATTTGTAACCAAAACGCTGCCAGCTTTTTATTTTAATAAAAAAAGTGTGAACACGCCCTAAGCTATTATCACTAGACCTATTCAAACCAAATCCAACAGTATCTGCCATAATATCAAGTAAGTGCGCATCATTGTTCTCGCTAATATTTTCTCATATCATGAGATCTGCAGTTTAGTTTAAAAATGAATTATTGTGCACCTATAGCACTCCTCGCTGTCATTAAAACATAGAATGCCACAGAAAAAGTGATCAAGCGCATCCACTACAAATATGTCTAAATTCATATCATTTTGGTTTAACTTCTGCGTAATGACTTAATGTAATTTCAGTGCTTATCTCCATTAACGAGAGTGGAATATTTAATGTAAATGTGTAGATTGATATGAAAACAGTTTAAAATCGTTCTTTGCTTCATTAATTTTCTCACTCCAGGAAAAAGAGTTTGTACGCATGGGTCAGAGTTTGCGTGCAGGTGCGCAAATTTTTTCCCATCACGTTTGTTTTTATAAATCCCACCTTTTGCGTAGGAAGTGGCGTACGCCTCTTTCAGGGCAGGTTTTATGCGTACGCAACAGTTATAAATGAGGCCCCTGGTCTGTGATTGCTATGACTGTCTGATAAAAGATTTTTATGTAAAGATATTTAGCCAGACAGATCTTACACTGCTTAAGAATGTTATGTTTTGTAAGCACATTTTATTTGATTGTCAATATAGAAACAGCTGCACTTTCAGGGCTGTTGACACGTCGTAAACAACAGGGAGTCGTGTCATATATGATGGGTTGCTGTTTTACGTGAAGGCTTATTAGACTGTGAAAGAGACTTAAAGACCAAACAAGAGGCTGTACGAGTGCATCTGGACTGAGTATTTCCTCTTGTTTAACACATGCAGTTCTTCCTATCGCAATATCCGTCCCTACTGTGTAGCTTCCTAACAGTTCTTTCCAGTGGTGAGCAAATGGCTGGAAAATTTCCCCAGGGCTAAAATGGGCTTCCATGAGAAAGTTCAGTCGAGGAGATCAGGTTCAGTTCTCTGTTTGGTTAAAAGGTTTGCGTTGTTTATGTGTACTGAGAGCAGGTTCACTACATCTAGCCACCTTGGCTGGGATGATTAAAAAAATAATAAATTGTACAACCCAGTCAGATTTACTACTTCTGTCTGTCTATCTGTCTATCTATCTACCTACCTACCTAACTAACTAACTAATACTTAAAACCTATTATTGTATGTATTTTATTGTATTTTATGTCAGGAAGGTATAAAATATAAAACATTTAACTTTATTTTATATTTTTTCACCTTAGCAAAAAAAAGTGTTAAAGCAGCAGGGAAATTAAAATACCAAAATTATGAAGAAAAACATAACATAAGTAATTGCATGACTTGTTAATAAATTACAAGTAATACATGTTTTTGTTGTTTTTTTTTGTTTTAAATTTAGTTTTTAAATTTTACATTTAAATTTTAAATTGTTTTTAGTAGTAGAATTTTATGAGCTATCAGCTGATGAAAAGTTTAAATGGTCTGTTTTCTGTGTTAATATATTTCATAATACAATTGAATCAGCATCCTTACTGGTTTGCTGCTTATTTTTTTGGCAAACCATTTTTTTTATTAAGTATTGTGTTTTAGGATTCTATGAATAGAAAGTAAAAAAAAAAAAAAACATTTATTTGAAATAGAAATCTTGAAACATTATACATTCATGTCCTTGTTTTATGAAAATATACATTTCTTATCAAAAAGCTAGCTGAGCCTAAACTTTTGCAAGTCGGTGTGTACTATATGAAGTGTGTCCAGTAATGTCAATGCTCTATGCTGTTGGTGAAGCACAGTAACACAACGTGCCTTTGTTTTCCAGGCTCCACTCTCGCCTTGACCTCTTGGTTCACCCAGGATCCAAAATGAGCATAAGCAGTGATGAGGTCAATTTCCTTGTCTACAGATACCTGCAGGAGTCAGGTGTGTATCTGATAGTTATCTGCACACTAGCTTCTTCATTTCAGCTAACAGCACATACTCTGTTTCATATTGCATGCAGTGGCAAGTTTTTGCCCTTTGTCATGTTTATTTCCTAGGAACTAATTAGTGGTTCGTAGGGCTGTGTATCACCAGCAAAGTCACGATGCGATACGTATCACGATACGGGACTGCACTGAATTTCACCTCAGAAGAATTTAGTAAAACAGCTGTTTATTAAACACTGCATACTATAGGGCTGTTGCTAACTATTGGCAGAGCAGGCAGTTGGCCTCTGCATTATGAAGGGCCATAACTACCACAGTACGATATAGGTAATGGCATATGTTTCATGCTTACATTGTGCACTCCTCACCAGGTACAATATTCTGATTGTTTGCATCTTGTTTTGAAGCCCATAAATAATAATGTACTTGTTTTAATACATTTATATTGTAATTAGGGATATGCCGGTATCAAATTCTCATGTCGCGATTAATTGCTAAAGCTTTTATCACGGTATACAGTATTATCACGATATTTAAATTGAGTTTAAAAAAAGTGCTGTCATAATACAGTATAACCGGTTTAATAACATTTTTCTTATAACAAAAATAACTGAACATTTAAATGCAATAAAGCAATACAGAAAAATTTA